GTAGGTGGTGATGGTGATGTAGGTGGTGATGGTGATGTAGGTGGTGATGGTGATGTAGGTGGTGATGGCGATGTAGGTGGTGATGTCAATGTAGATGGTGATGTAGGTGATGGTGATGTGGGTGATGGTGATGTAGGTGGTGGTGATGTAAGTGATGGTGATGTAGGTGTGATGGTGATGTAGGTGATGGCGATGTAGGTGGTGATGGCGATGTAGGTGGTGATGGTGATGTAGGTGATGGTGATGTAAGTGATGGTGATGTAGGTGGAGATGTGATGTAGGTGGTGGTGATGTAAGTGATGGTGATTTAGGTGGTGGTGGTGATGTAGGTGGTGATGGTGATGTAAGTGATGGTGATGTAGGTGGTGATGATGTAGGTGGTGATGATGTAGGTGGTGATGATGTAGGTGGTGATGGTGATGTAGGTGGTGATGATGTAAGTGATGGTGATGTAGGTGGTGATGGTGATCTAAGTGATGGTGATGTAGGTGATGGTGATGTAGGTGATGGTGATGTAAGTGATGGTGATGTAGGTGGTGATGGTGATGTAGGTGATGGTGATGTAGGTGATGGTGATGTAGGTGATGGTGATGTAGGTGATGGTGATGTAGGTGGTGGTGATGTAGGTGGTGATGGTGATGTAGGTGGTGATGGCGATGTAGGTGGTGATGTTGATGTAGGTGGTGATGGTGATGATGGTGATGTAGGTGGTGGTGATGTAGGTGTGATGGTGATGTAGGTGATGGTGATGTAAGTGATGGTGATGTAGGTGGTGATGGTGATGTAGGTGATGGTGATGTAGGTGGTGATGGTGATGGAAGTGATGGTGATGTAAGTGATGGTGATGTAGGTGGTGATGTGATGTAGGTGGTGGTGATGTAAGTGATGGTGATTTAGGTGGTGGTGATGTAAGTGATGGTGATGTAGGTGGTGATGGTGATGTAAGTGATGGTGATGTAGGTGGTGATGGTGATGTAGGTGGTGATGGCGATGTAGGTGGTGATGTCGATGTAGGTGGTGATGGTGATGATGGTGATGTAGGTGATGGTGATGTGGGTGGTGGTGATGCAGGTGGTGGTGATGTAAGTGATGGTGATGTAGGTGTGATGGTGATGTAGGTGATGGTGATGTAAGTGATGGTGATGTAGGTGGTGATGGTGATGTAGGTGGTGATGGTGATATAGGTGGTGGTGATGGAAGTGATGGTGATGTAGGTGGTGGTGATGTAGGTGGTGGTGATGTAAGTGATGGTGATGTAAGTGATGGTGATATAGGTGGTGATGGTGATGTAGGTGGTGATGGTGATGGTGATGTAGGTGGTGATGTGATGTAGGTGGTGGTGATGTAGGTGGTGGTGATGTAAGTGATGGTGATTTAGGTGGTGGTGATGTAGGTGGTGCTGGTGATGTAAGTGATGATGATGTAGGTGGTGATGGTGATGTAGGTGGTGATGATGTAGGTGGTGATGATGTAGGTGGTGATGATGTAAGTGATGGTGATGTAGGTGGTGATGGTGATCTAAGTGATGGTGATGTAGGTGATGGTGATGTAGGTGTGATGGTGATGTAGGTGATGGTGATGTAGGTGGTGATGGTGATGTAGGTGGTGATGGTGATGGAAGTGATGGTGATGTAGGTGGTGATGGTGATGTAAGTGATGGTGATGTAAGTGATGGTGATATAGGTGGTGATGGTGATGTAGGTGGTGATGGTGATGTAGGTGATGGTGATGTAAGTGATGGTGATGTAGGTGGTGATGTGATATAGGTGGTGGTGATGTAAGTGATGGTGATTTAGGTGGTGATGATGTAAGTGATGGTGATGTAGGTGGTGATGGTGATGGGAGGTGATGGTGATGTAGGTGGTGATGATGTAAGTGACGGTGATGTAAGTGATGGTGATGTAAGTGATGGTGATGTAGGTGGTGGTGATATAAGTGATGGTGATGTAGGTGGTGGTGATGGTGATATAAGTGATGGGTGATGTAAGTGATGGTGATGTGATGGTGATTAAAGTGATTTTGATGTAGGTGGCGATGGTGATGTAGGTGGTGATGATGATGTAGGTGCTGGTGTTGTAAGTGATGGTGATGTAAGTGATGGTGATGTAAGTGGTGGTGAGGTAGGTGGTGGCGATGGTGATATAAGTGATGGTGATGTTGGTGGTGATGTAAGTGATCGTGATGTAAGTGGTGATGTAGGTGGTGGTGATGTAGGCGGTGATGTGATGTAGGTGGTGATGGTGATGTAGGTGATGGCGATCTAGGTGGTGGTGGTGATGTAAGTGATGGTGATGTATGTGATGGTGATTTAGGTGGTGGTGATGCAGGCGGTGGTGGTGTAAGTGATGCTGATGTAGGTGGTGGTAATGTATGGTGATATAGGTGGTGATGTAAGTGTTGGTGATGTAAGTGAAGGTGATGTAGGTGGTGGTAATGTAAATGATGGTGATGTAGGTGGTGGTAATGTAAGTGATGGTGATTTAGGTGGTGGTGATGTAGGTGGTGATGGTGATCGAGTCGTTGGTGGTGATGTAGGTGGTGGTGATGTAAGTGGTGGTGATGGTGATGTAAGTGATGGTGATGTAGGTGGTGAGGTTGAGGTAGGTGGTGGTGGTGATGATGATGTAGGTGGTGATGATGGTGGTGGTGGTAATGGAGTGATGTGGTACAAGAGGATGTGAAGCTGAGTGGACTTGCCGAAGACTGGAACCAGCGATGTCAAGATCGGCCTCTGGAGGAGGCTCGTGAAGGACGCTACTGGGTAGTTGGAGGCCGTCGCCCTCCAACAACAACGGAGGGCAGAGAAGCGACACAACAATGAGCGGAGCGCCGGGCAGCTAGAATTCAGTTGGCACAGTGGGTACAGCTGGTGCATCGGCCACTCATCTGTCAGTCAACCCATGGTACCTGCTGAACCTGTCCCATGACCTCCTGTCGGTGAACCTTGGACACTTCACCTGGCCTCAAAGTGCACGTAGCCTGGCACAGGCGCCGTAGTGACGTCACCGTCACTTAGTGGCAAATGGCGGTTTTTGGTATTGGTGATGAGGCGATGATTCACGTCATGGTGACAATGTAGGCGATGGTGGTGATGTAAATGAGGGTGATGTAAGTGATGGTGGTGATGATGTAGATGATGGTGGTGATAAGGTGATGATAAGGTGATGATCGTGGTGATATATTTGATGATGATGATGGTGGGGATGATGTAGGTGATGGTGGTGTGCCGGGAAAGGTCCTGGCAAGGATTATGCAACATCGCCTTGCTCGGCATGCTGAGGAGAGGCTTGTAGAGCCTCAATGTGGTTTCGGGAAAGGGTGGTCCTGCACGGATGCCATATTTTCTGTCTGTCTGCTACAGCAGAGGTTTAGGGAATTCCAACAAGACCTACATCTCTGCTTTATTGACCTGGTCAAGGCCTATGATACCACCAGTAGGCCTGGACTCTGGGTTGTTCTTCGTGCTTCGGAGTCCCTGACCCTCTGCTCACGATCATTAAGGACCTTCATGATGGTGAGCGGGCCCGGGTAAAACTACGTGGCTGGGAGTCGGAGCCATTCACTGTACACCTTGGGGTGCGACAGGGATGTCTTCTGGCTCCCACATTATTTAACATCTATTTTGACCACATAGTTCGTGAGGCCTTCAATAGCTGTACTGGAGGAATTTCCATCTGGTAATCGCTGCTCACTCAGAGGAGGAGTTGGAGGCGCTGCTGCTAAACCTGGAGCTTACCACTAAGAGGTGGGGCCTTACCATCAGCTCCACCAAAATTAAGCACCTGCCAGGGTATTTTGTACCATCGGATACTCCACCCCCACAACTCCCAATTGGTGATGGAGCAGTTGTGGAGAGAGTGGAGAGTTTCCCATATCTGGGCAGTGTGCTTATGACCGGCTCCGGTTTAACAGCAGAGGTCTCACTCCGAATGAGTTGAGCGGCATTATCTTTTCATCGGTTACGTAACGCTGTGTGGAAGCTACCTGGTCTGTCGCTCCGCACGAAGCTTCAGGTCTTTTTGGCCACAGTCATTCCCTCCCTTATCTACGCTTGCGAAACGTGGACCCCCCTAATGGAACATCTTTGCCGTTTAGAAACATTTAGGCTGGCCTGCCTACGATCCATCCTGGGTTTAAGCAGGCTGGATTGTGTGAGCAGCTCACAAATCCTTGAAAGATCTGGACAAAGTCCCATTGGTGAGCTCCTCCGTCAGGCAAGGCTGCGTTGGCTGGGCCATGTAGCCCGCATGCCAAGTCACCGCATTCCTAAACAGCTTTTGTTTGGCTGGATCGAGGGGGCTAAACGGGCGCAGCACGGGCTAGAGAAGAGATGGAGTGATGTGGTACAGGAGGATGTGGAGCTAGTACCTGTGGTCTCAAGATCGGCCTCTGTGGAGAAGGCTCCTGAAGGACACTACTGGGCAATTGGAGGCAGTCACTCTCCAACAACAACGAAGGGGGGAGGAGCGACGCTGACACCAACGAGTGGAGCGCCGGGTGGCTAAAGCACAGAACGTTGGCACAGTAGGGGGCACAGGTGGTGCATCAGCCAGTCGTCTCAGTCGACCCGTGGCACCTGTTTCTACCCCGTGACCTGCCAGCGGGCGTTCGACACTTCACATGGCCTCAACGTGCACCTAGCCTGGCACAAGCGTCGTGGTGATGTCACCGCCACCTAGTGGCGAATGGCGATTGTTGTTGGTGATGGTGGTGTAAGGGATTGTAATGAAGGGGATGGTGATTTTAATGTTGATGTTGATGGTGATGTTGAGGTGTGTTGCAGGTGATGATGGTGATTTTCCAGGTTATGGTAATGACAGTGATAATGTTTTTGCAGTCACGGTGTTGATTTTGCTGTTAATGTAAGTGATGTGGTTGGTGATGTCGGTGGAGGTTGATGTATGTGCTGATGATGTTGGTATCATTGCTGATGTTGCAGGTATGTGAGTGTTGTGATGTTGCTAGTGATGTTAATTTCTGTGATGTGCGTGGTGATGTAGGTGATGTGAGGTGATGACACCAGCGCACAACTGCAGACTCCAGATCCCACATAGCGTCTCCTGCGGATAGAGTGTCTGGTTCAGAACAATTCACCCGATCTACACAGATCATCTGTTCTGGACAGAACATCGCTTCTGGACCGAATGATCGGTCCAGATAAAATGTACGATCCAGCTGGCTCACCGGTCCGCTCACCACCAAGCTCACCGATCAGCCCACCAGCCTGCCACACGGCTGACTCACCCGTCCACTCGGCTCGCTCACCCGTCCACTTGGCTCGCATTGTAGTAAGCTCCCCGGCCAAACCACCAGCAGTCCACTCGCCAGTCGGCCTACCGGTGAGCTCGCCAGCTTGCGACAGTGATGAGGCAGCGGTGGCAGTGACGCCGTGGCCGGATGAGGAGCGGCGCCGAGTGCTGTTTGCGGCATTCAAGGCGGCGCGCGCCGTGAACCCGGCCGACTGGGACGGACGGCTGAGGTTCTGGCGCGAGCGCATGGTGGGTGAGGCGCGGGCGAGCGGCGACGCGGCGCTGTCGCTGGCACGGCTGCAGCATCGCTACGCCGACCCGCGGCCGCCCCTTGGCCTCGCCACCGTGCTGCGTGAGATGATGCGGTGAGCGGCCGGAAAACGGCGGCGAGATGTGGTGGTGGTGGGGATGGTGATGGTGGTGAGAGGTGGTGGTGATGGGGATAGTGATGATGGTGGAGGTTTTTAAGGTGGTGGTGTAGGTATACACCCTTATGTGTGTTGTGTTTGAGCTGTACACACTGTTGTGTGTGCTGTACACACTATACACGTGTGTGTGTGCGCTGTACATACTCTGTGGGGAGCGATAGTGTAGCGGTTAGCACGCTGCGCTATGAACCTGGCGACCCGGGTTCGATTCCCGCTCACGGTCAACACCAGTGACGATTATCTGAACCGGTCCCGGGCCTCCCCTAGGTCGACTCAGCCTCAAATGAGTACCTGGGGCGGTGTGTAAATATCGCCACTAGGGAGACAAAGGCGGTCGGGCGTGGTGCTGGCCACCCACCCCCTCGTGTACCGTTCCGGCCTTCATAGGTGCTCGCTAACAGCACTTGCCCCTACAGTCTGTTAAGGCTATATGGGGGATCTTTTGATCTTTGTACATACTCTGCGTGTTGTGTATATGTCGTGTAATCATGCAGTCTGTTCCCAAGGACAATGACCTCTTGCATTTGGACCGGTAATCATTCGGCACCTCGCACGTCCTCATCATTGGTTCTTATGAGTTCACCTGTAATCACACGGTCGTTAGGTTTGGTTCCTGTGAGTTTGCGTGTAACTTAGCAGGACTGGCATTTGAATGACATAGAGATCACATCACGGCCAGTGGGTTGCTATAAATTTCCACGTGATATTCCATTTTTTTAGCAGTCATTTGCAGACAACAGGTCGCTTCTGGAAAAGAGCTACATAGCACAGTGGGCCCTACCTTGTAAAATAAAAGTTTAGTTTAGTTCACACTGCGTTATGCCGGCTGTATACATACTCTTTGTGGTGTGTGTGGTGTACACACTATGTGGCGTGTGCGGTGTGCAGGGAGGGGGCACTGGTACGTGAGTCGGAGATGGGGGGGGGCGCGGGGCATGGCTGGTTGTGGGGGGCGGGGCGCCTCGCCCTCACTCCGCTGAGATGGGCGCGTGACTCGTTGCTAGGTGGCCGTGGTGACGTAATCGCACCCGACGAGTGCCTTATTCTGCCCAGCGTCGTCGAGGTAACTGTCGTGGTAACCTCGGTGCAGTTGCAGTGTGATGTCATGCATCACGATGTGTGTTACCAGGTGTGGTGTTGAGTCTGGTTGTTCTGGTTGTGAGTGTGGTGGTATTATGACGAGTGTGTTTGAGCGCAGTTGAGTGGTTGTGAGTGGTTGTGTTATAATGAACGCGGTTGTGAGCGCGGTTGTATTGTGACGAGTTTATGAGCGCAGTTGAGTGGTTTTGAGTGTTATGACGAGTGTGGTTTGAATATGGTTGTATTATGACGAGTTTTTATGAGCGCAGTTATTTGGTTGTGAGTGAGAATAGCTTTTCCCCTTTTTTTCTGGCAACAAAACAGGTGTTAAGATGTTAAAACACCAAACTGAAACCTTTTACAAGGAATCATGTCTGCATTAACCACAATGCTTGTGGTCAGACGTGCGCCTTTTGGCGTCCTCTGGTCTAACACCGTTTTGAGACTAAGCTCAAAAGAAAGCGGTCTCTGGTGTGGACCAATTAGTTTCAAAGACAATGCATTTATTATCAGTGTTTTTTTTTGCATTCTGACCACAAGCATTGTGGTTAATCAGCATCAGAATCATAAAGGGTTTTATTCGCCATGTAAGTTCACACCGACAGGGAATTTACTTTGGCAGGATGGTGCATACATTCAACATATATGAATATAACATCTTAAATAAGTTTTAAACAAGCCTTACTATAATAAGGGTTAAAAGTCTAACACCAAGGGGATGAAGTATATAAAATTAAATAAATATCGAATATAAAATAGCTTTAAGATATAATTTAAAAATAAAAAATACAAATAGGGTAACATAGTTAATATCGGTAAGGTGTCGTTATGTAGATCAAATGTTAAAAACAGTGTTAGCCCTTGGCCTTGTTTAACAGGCCAGCAGCAGATGGGAAGAAACTGTATTTATGGCGTGAGGTTTTGGTCCTGATGGACCGAAGCCTTCTGCCGGAGGGGAGTAGCTGAAACAGAGAGTGTCTAGGGTGGGAGAAATCGGCCATAATCTTCCTCGCTCGTCTCATGGACCTTGTCGTGTGCAGGTCCTCGAGGGTTGGTAGATTGCAGGCAATTACCTTCTCAGCAGTGTGGATGATACGCTGCAGTCTGCTCTTGTCCTTGGCAGTGGCAGCAGCGTACCAGACGGTTATGGAGGAGGTGAGGATGGATTCAATGATCGCTGTATAGAATTGCACCATCATTGTCTTTGGCAGGTTGAATTTCTTCAGCTGCCGTAGAAAGTACATCCTCTGTTGAGCTTTCTTGGTGAGGGAGCTGATGTTCAATTCCCACTTGAGGTCCCGGGAGAGAATAGTGCAGACATGATTCCTTGTAACAGGTTTCAGTTTGGTGTTTTAACATCTTAACACCTGTTTTGTTGCCAGAAAAAAGGGGAAAACCTATTCTCATATTTTGGTACTGGCAAAGGAGGTCCCATGATTTGGTTGTGAATGCGGTGTGTTATGGCGAACGCGGTTATGAGCGTGGTTGTGAGTGTGGTTGTATTATGATGAGTGCTTATGAGCGCAGTTGAGTGGTTTTGGGTGTGATGACGAGCGTGGTTGTGCGTGTGGTTGTATTATGACGAGTGTTTATGAGCGCAGTTGATTGGTTGTGTTATGACAAGTGTGGTTGTGAGTGGTTGTGTTATGACGAGCGCAGTTGTGAGTGTGATTGTTATGGCGAGCGTGGTTATGAGTTTGATTGCGAGTGTGGTTATGTTATGACAAATGTGGTTGTGTTATAACGAGCGTGGCTGTGCGCGTGGTTGCAGGAGGCGGTGAGTGCGGTGCTGGCTTGGCGGGCTGGCCGGCCCCACGCTGCTGCGGTCGCTGTGCGGTTGAGCGCCATGGTTGAGGCGGCCGTCTGGCCGAATGAGGCGACGCTGTGCATGGCTCTTCGAGTCCTGCAGCAACGGCAGCAGCTCACCACACTCACCATTGATGGCGTGGAGGTCAGGAACTCCTCACCACACAGCTGCCCACACAGCTCACCATAGTAACCACGCACTTTGCACACTCACTACTTATTACACTTGCCACTCAATCAGCACGCTCACCATCAACCATATTCAGGCGAGCAAAGCCTCATCACTTCACCTGGAGAGGTACAGGTGTGGTGGCTGTTGTGGCGGTCGTGATTGATGTGGTTGTGATTGTTGTGCTTGTGTAAGCGTGTGCGTTTGTGATGGTTGCAGTTGTTTTGGTTGTTGTGGCTGTGGTGTAGGTGGTAAAGTTTGCGGCGCCAGGTGCGGTGCACGCACCGCCGCTGTCTCCTGTGGACGTCGGCGTCATGAAGCTGGAAATGGCGCAGGGGCTGCTGGGAGCACGGGCTCACGCTCAGAGACAGAGGGCGCACACGTGAGTACAACAACAACAACCGCCATTCGCCACTAAGTGGCAGTGACGTCACCACGATGCTTGTGCCAGCTATGTGCACGTTGAGGCAGGAGGTCCTGGGGCAGACCTAGGTGCCACGGGTCGACTGACTGAGATGACTGGTTGATGCACCACCTGTGCCCCCTACTGTGCCAACCTGCTGTGCTTTAGCCACCCGGCGCTCTGCTCGTTGGTGTCAGCGTCGCTCCTCCCCCCTCCGTTGTTGTTGGAGAGCGACTACCTCCAACTGCCCAGTAGTGTCCTTCAGGAGCCTTCTCCACAGAGGCCGATCTTGACACCGCAAGTACTAGCTCCAAATCCTCTGTACCACATCACTCCATCTCTTCTCTCGCCCGTGCCGCACTCGTTTAGCCCCCTCTATCCGGCCGAACAAAAGCTGTTTAGGCATGTGGTGACTGGGCATGCGGGCTATATGACCCAATGCAGCCTTGCCTGCCGGAGGAGCTCACCGATGGGACTTTGTCCAGATCTTTCACGGATTTGTGAGCTCACACAATCCAGCTCGGTTAAACCCAGGATGGATCGTAGGCAGGCCAGCCTAAATGTTTCTCACCGGCAAAGATGTTCCATTAGGGGGGGGGTCCATGTTTTGCAAGCGTAGAGAAGGGTGGGAATGACCGTGGCCGAGAAGACCGGAAGCTTCGTGTGGAGCAACAGACCAGGTAGCTTCCACGCAGCGTTACACAACCGATGAAAGGATAATGCCGCTCGACTGATTCGGAGTGAGACCTCTGCTGTTAAACCGGAACTGGTCATGAGCACACTGCCCAGGTATGGGAAACTCTCCACTCTCTCCACAACTGCCCCATCACTAATCGGGAGTTGTGGGGATGGTGGAGTGTCCGATGATACAAAAAACCCAGGCAGGTGCTAGTTTTGGTTGGGCTGATGGTAAGGCCCCACCTCTTAGTGGCACGCTTCAGGTTCAGCAGCAGCGCCTCCAACTTCTCCTCTGAGTGAGCGGCAATTACTAGATCATGGGCATACATAATGGGGTTGACCAATAGGGAGCCATGCCTTGACCGCACCCGGACATTGTATCTGTACCAGATGGAAATTCCTCCGGTATAGCCATCAACGGCTTCACGAACTATGTGGTCAAAATAGATGTTAAATAATGTGGGAGCCAGAGGACATCCCTGCCGCACCTCAAGGTGTACGTCGAATGGCTCCGACTCCCGGCCACGTAGTTTTATCTGGGCCCGCTCACCATCATGAACGTCCTTAATGATCGAGCAGAGGGTCAGGGACTCGAAAAGCACGAAGAATACCCCAGAGCCCAGGCCTACTGATGGTATCATAGGCCTTGACCAGGTCAATAAAGCAGAGCTGTAGGTCTTATTGGAATTCCCTACACCTCTTCTGTAGCAGACGGACAGAAAATATGGCATCTGTGCAGGACCGCCCTTTCCTGAAACTGCTTTGGGGCTCCGCAAGCCTCTCCTCAGCGTGCCTGGCAAGGCGATGTTGAATAATCCTTGCCAGGATCTTTCCCGGCACACTGAGGAGTGAAATGCCTCTATAGTTGTTAGTCTGTGCGGTCCTCCTTCTTAAAGAGGGGGACCACCAGGGTATCCTTCCAATCCTGTGGAACCTGTCCAGTGGTCCAGACTGTTATGATGTCTTGTAGGGCAGTCTGCACAAACGCCACCCTCAGCATTTCGCTTGGGAGATCATCTCTGCCAAGTGCCTTTCCTCGTCTCAGACTCCAGTTTGCTTTTAGTATTTCCTCAACAGATGGCACCTCAGCCAGCCACTCACAGTGGGTGACTTCCAATATTTGAGACACCGCAGCCTCAGCAGTGTTAGCTCCACTTTGTCCCATGATGTTTTCCATGCCGAGGGATTTCCCCTCCCCCAGGACTTCACAGAAATGCTCAGCAAATCTGGGGGTCGGAGATTGGATCACCGTTTTTTTCCCCTAATGATGGTAATAGGTGTGGTGCTGCAGGTTACTTTTTTGATGGAGTTAAATAGTGATTTGTGATCGTGGGCCATTGAGGCAGACTCCATCTCCTCAGCAACCTGCGACCACCACCCATCCTTCCAGCGCCTCACAGCTCTTAGAACCTCCGAGCGAAGACTGCGGTATGCCTCCTCATTCTGACGTGAGATGCCATAGACGATGAGAGTGGGCCTGTCACTTTTTCGCAACCAGCCTGAACACCTCCTCTCTCAGCCAGGGTATCTGGGGAGGTCTGGACCGTGTACCCAAAGCAGCCATTGCAGCTGCATGAGCCACAGTCCTAAACCTCGCCCATTTCCCCTCGACATCTGGAGGAGTGGGGGACGATGCCAACCCCAGCCGCAAGCAATGATTAAATTTTCGCTTGCAACTTACATCAGCTAGTTGAGACCAGGCCACCTTGGGTTTGAATGGGGTCTTGGGTTTACACCCACCACCGGAGTGGAAGAATGGCAGGCGCATCTTACAGATGATAAGTCGATGGCCAGTGAGCAGATCAGCTCCACGGTATGTCCTGGTGTCAAGGACATAGGCCCGCATCCGCTGTTCCGTCACTACGTAGTCCAGCTAATGTTCTTGTTTGGACCCGGCATGCATCCATGATGTTGTGTGTATGCGCCGATGCCGGAACAGCGTGGTGGTTATTACAAGCCTATGGGCTGGACAAAAATCTAGCAGCCTCCTACCATTGTTATTGAGCTGATCTGGCCCATGCCTTCCAATCACTCCAGACCAGGTGCCAGCATCATGACCAACTCGGGCATTGAAGTCGCCCAACAGGATGACCCAGTTTAGTTAGCACCTGTGACAGGAGGTCATAGAAGCCATCTGAATCATCGGCCTTGCCTGCATCCCTCCACGGATGTTCGTCTTTGGTGGAGGCATAAGTAACCACGACCACCACGACCACCACTCCTTGCCTCCGGTTAATGAGAAGGCGAGCCCAAAGTAGTTTGGGGCTTACCGTTTCCGACACCTCACCGCCACACTCCAAAGCCCCCTTCATTCTTTTGTTCAGAAGAAGAACCACTCCCTGTTGTTTGGCAGTCTCCTGCCCCGAGTAGAGGACTGTCCACCCCTCATGGTGGCAGGAGCCAGAGCCGGTCCACCGGACCTCCTGAATACCACAGAGATCCAGGCGGTACCGGTCCTGCTCCCAACAGAGGAGTTGCAGCCTCTCCTCCGCAGTGAGCATTCGAACATTCCACGTCGCCACCCTTAGTGCTTTTTAGTTGTTTCTGGAGGACCCCCGAGGGTAAAGATTCAAACTCCTGCCTCCGGCACAAGCTTATTAATTTTATACGTGGTTTTGTGCTGATTAATTGAAGGTGGAGGGGTTACCAGCTCCTCTCACCCATTCAGAGCACCCATTTGGCCGCTGTGGTGGTTACAAACGCCATGAGAGGAATGGTCAATCTAAATTGGCCCTGCCCCCACAGCACTGTCCACCACAGCGTTGCCGTCCGGCACCACGAGGACATAGGGGGTTGTTTTTTCCGAGTACACACAAACACGTGTACACGTACAAAGATCACAGCACACGACGGGGTGGGCAGCAAACATCACGCCTGGCCTCCTTTGTCTCCCTAGTGGCGATGTTTAAACATCGCACCAGGTACTCATTTGAGGCTGAGTCGACCTAGGGGAAGCCCAGGACTGGTTCAGATAATCATCACTGTTAGCCATGAGGAGGAATCGAACCTAGGTCGGCAGGTTTGTAGCGAAGCACGCAAACCGCTACACTATCGCTGTCCACACATACACGTGTGTACATACACACGTGCTTGCACACGTGTGTGTGCTCGTACACACATGCATACACACGTGCGTACACACGTGCGTACATGCACACACACGTACACACAACATAAACAACCGCCATTCACCACTAAGTGGCGGTGAAGTCACTACGACGCTTGTTCGAGGCTATGTGCACTTTAAGGCCCCATGAAGTGTCGAATGCCCGCTGGCAGAAGGTCACGGGACAGACCCAGGTGCTATGGGTTGATTGACTGAGATGAATAGCCGATGCACCACCTGTGCTCCCTACTATTCCGACTCGCTGTGTTTTATCTGCCCAGCGCTCCGCTCATTGTCATGAGCGTCGCTTCTCTGCCCTCCGTTGTTGCTGAAAGGCGACTGCGTCCAACTGCCTTGTAGCGTCCTTCACCTCGCCTGACTTGAGCAGCTCACTGACGGGACTGTCGAGATCTTTCAAGGATTTGTAAACCCAGGATGGATTGTACACAAGCCAGCCTGAATGTTTCAAACCAGTGCAGATGTCCATAACTGTGGCCGAAAATTATCGGAGCTTCGTATGGAGCTGATGAAAAGATAAGGCTGCTCGTCTGATTTGGAGACCTGCAGCCAAACCAGAACTCATCGTAGACACTCTGCCAAGGTAAGAAAACTTCACTCTTTCCACAACTGCCCCATCACACATGGGGAGTTGAGAAGATGGAGAATTTGATGACATAAAATACCCAGGCTGGTGCTTAGTTTTGTTTAGCATGCTTCAAGTTCAGCAGTAGTCTACAACTCCTCTGTGTGAGCAGCAATTACCAGATCATTGGCATACATAACATGGTTGACCACCGATCATTGTATCTGCTGTACCAGATAGAAATGCCTCTGGTACATCCATGAAAGGCTTCATGAACTACGTGGTCAAAAAATATGTTAAATAGTGTAGGGGCCATAGGACATCCTTGTCGCACCCCAAGGTGAACAGGGAATGGCTTGACTCCCAGGCACGCGCATATACACACTACACACACGGTGTGTACACACATACACACGGATCAAAGGTTATCGTGGTTTAGTAATTGTTTTGGTGGTTGTTGTGGTGGCTGCGGTTGAGTCGCTGTTTCTCCACAGGCTGAAGGAGGAAGCTAGGGCCCACGTGCGGGAGGGAAGCAAGCGCCAGGTACATTCACTCACTGTTATTCGCTCTGTCATTTATTCACTTTCATTCATTCAGCATCATTCAGAAAAATACAAAGAAAAATCCTATGTAACCTTGTGCCGGAGGCTCCAGGAAAAACGGCACCTCAGACATCTCCTAGCTGAACCCCATTTGACAGAGCCAGAAATGATAGGAAACGATTAGCCGTGTGGAATGTTCGAAGTATAACTTTGAAGGAAAGGAGAGGCTGCAATTCCTCTACCTGAGCAGTGTGCTGGTGACATACTCCGGTTTGGCAGTGGAGGTCTCATTCCGAATAATTTGAGCGGCATCATTTTTTAAACAGCTTCATGACAGTGTGTGGAAGCTACTTGGTCTATCACGCCATACGAAACTCCAGGAGTTTCTCGGCCACAGTTATGACCTCCCTTCTCTATACTTGGAGCCCTTTAAAGGAACATTTGCACTGGTTTGAAAAATGCTAACCTGACTACGATCCATCCTGGGTTTAACCAAGCTGGATTGTGTGAGGAGCTCACAAATCCTTGAAAGATCTGGACAAAGTCCCATCGGTGACCTCCTCCGGCAGGCAAAGCTGCATTGGCTGGGTCATGTAGCCCGCATGCCCAGCCACCGCATGCCTAAACAGCTTTTGTTTGGCCAGATAGAGGGGGTTAAACGGGCGCAGCACGGGCTAGATAAGAGATGGAATTATGTGGTACAGGAGGACGTAGAGCTGTGTAGCCATGCCAATGACTGGTACCATTGATGTCAAGATTGGCCTCTGTGGAGGAGGCTCGTGAAGAACGCTACTGGGCAGTTGGAGGCAGTCGCCCTCCAGCAACAATGGAGAGCAGAGGAGCGACGCTCACAACAACGAGCGGAGCTCGGGGTGGCTAAAGCACAGCAAGTTGGCACGGTAGTGGGCACAGGTGGTGCATCGGCCACTCATCTCAGTCAGTCGACCCGTGACACCTGGGTCTGCCCCGTGACCTCTTGCCAGCGGACGTTCCACACTTCATGTGGCCTCAACGTGCACATAGCCTGGCACAAGCACCGTGGTGATGTCACTGCCACTTATTGGTGAATGGTGGTTGTTGTTGTCGTGTAGTACCTGGTGCGGTGTGTAAACATCGCCACTCAAGTGACTAAGGCAGCCGAGCGTGGTGCTGGCTACCCACCCCCTTGCGTACCGTGCCGGCCTTCATAGGTGCTCGCTAACAGCATTTACCCCAAAATTGTGTTAAGGCAAAATGTGGTATCTTTGTCTTTGTGTAGGCACTGCGTTGCCTCCGTGCATGTAAGCGTGTGCAGCAGCAGCTCGAGCGCGTGGAGCAGCAGCAGGAGTCCCTGGAGCATCTCCTGGAGAGCGTGCACGCGGCACACACCGATGCCATGGTACATGTGTAGTGTGTCCACTTGTGCCCACTATACATGCACCTAGCCTGGCACAAGCACTTCGGCAAATATGGCTGATGTAAAATGTACAACAACAACCGCCATTTGCCACTAAGTGCCGGTGACATCACCACGGCGCTTGTGCCAGGCTATGTGCACGTTAAGGCCGCGTGAAGTGTCGAACGCCTGCTGACAGGAGGTCACGGGACAGACCCAGGTGCCATGAGTCGACTGAGATGTTGAATGTACACCACACATACACCACACACGCACTTGCAACACACGCACAACACAAAGATCCCCCTTATAGCCTTAGACTTTTGGGGCAAGTGCTGTTAGTAAGTACTTATGAAGGCCGGGATAGCACATGAGGGGGTGGGTGGCCAGCACCATGCCCGCCGGCCTTGGTCTCTCTAACCGAGAGGAGGTCCAGGACCGGTTCAGATAATAGTCACTGGTTATGGCCATGAGCGGGAATCGAACTCGGGTCACAGGGTTCATAGTGCAGCGTGCTAACCGCTATACTACTGCTCTCCACACACACCACACACACGTGTAATTACCAAGGCAACGGACCACTTACCTGACCCAAGCGTATGTGCGAACGGACAGTCAGGAAATAAACCAAGGCCTCCGATTGGTGCAGGGTGGCCTCAAAGATGATTGGTCAGGAGACGAGATTCAAAGAGATTAGAGGGAGATTCAAACGTAAAAGACGAGAAGCGAAGGTTGACTGTAGAGGCGACAGTTGACAACGGTTGGAGGAAGATGAGGGGAGTAGGGTAAGCAATGTTACCATAGAGGGGGTTGGGGAAGTATAAAAGCGGGAGACGGCGTAAGGGGAGGAGACTTTCGGAGAGAGGACGAAATTTAAGCATCACAAACGAGCCCGGGCCTAGGGTTGTGTCCAGATAAAGGCTCCTAGTAAGGCACAATGTGTGTCGGGGTCTTACACATGCAACAAAACACACACATGTAACACTAACACATGCCACGCACCATATACACATCATCACAACAACTTGTATCTTCCTGCAAGTCTGTGTCTCCATTTTCGCCCATGTGTCCTCGTGTCTCACCGTATGGACCCGTATCTCTGTACGTCCCCATGTATCTCCGTGCCTCCCCATGTCCGCGTGTCCCTGTGTGTCGCATCTTGGTGTGTCCCCGTCCATTCCTGTCTCTCAATAGCTCCCCGTTTTCGTGCATATCCCCATGTCTCCCCTGCATCCTCGTGTGTCCGCGTGTCTGCCTCTGTTTCTCCGTGTGTCCCCGTGTCTCCAGGTAATCCAGGCTTTTCAGGCCGGCAAGGTTGCTCTGCACAAAGTGTTACAGTCGGGCCCTGACACGGATGCGGTGGACGCCCTGATGGACGAGATCCAGCAGGCAAGGACCCTCCCTCGTTCACTCGCCCACTCACTCACCCACTTTGCTCACTCACTCACCCAGTTGCTCGATCACTGGCACACTCACCCACTCACTCACCCAATCACCTGCTCACTCACCCACATATAATCAGAATATTTTTTTACTAGCGGGAAGTACCCGGCGTTGCCCGGGCAAAAAAGACACACACACATCGACTTACACGCACACACAGACATCGACCCACATACATCCAAACACATCGACTTACACACACAGACATTGACTTTAGACACACACACATGGAGTTACACACACACATCGCCCTACACACACATATGGATTTACACACACAGATCGACTAAGACACACACGCATGGACTTACACACACACATACATAGACTGACACACACATCGATCTACACACACACATATCGACACACACACACATAGACTCACACAAACATGGACCTCACACACTCATCGACGTACACACACACACATCGATTGACACACACAAACTCGCACACAAACACACTTTGACTCACACACGCACATAGAGCCACACACACATGGACTGACACACAACAACCGCCATTCGCCACTAAGTGGCGATGACGTCACCACGACACTTGTGCCAGGCCATGTACACCTTGAGGCCACGTGAAGTGTCGAACGCCTGCGGGCAGGGGCAGACCCAGGTGCCACGGGTCGACTGACTGAGATGACTGGCTGGTGCACCACCTGTGTCCCCTACTGTGCCAACCTGCTGTGCTTTAGCCACCCGGCGCTCCGCTCGTTGTTGTGAGTGTCGCTCCTCCGCCCTCCGTTGTTGTTGGAGGGCGACTGCCTCCAACTGCCCAATAGCGTCCTTCACCAGCCTCCTCCACAGAGGCCGATCTTGACAACGCTGGTACCAGTCATCGGCAAGTCCACTCAGCTCCACGTCCTCCTGTACCACATCACTCCATCTCTTCTCTAGCCCGTGCCGCGCCCGTTTAGCCCCCTCGATCCGGCCCGAACAAAAGCTGTTTCGGCATGCGGTGGCTGGGCATGCGGGCTACATGACCCAGCCAACGCAGCCATGCCTGCCGGAGGAGCTCACCAATGGGACCTTGCCCAGATCTTTCAAGGATTTGTGAGCTCCTCACACAATCCAGCCTGGTTAAACCCAGGGTGGATCGTAGGCAGGCCAGCCTAAATGTTTCCAACCGGCGAAGATGCTCCATTAAGTGGGTCCACGTTTCGCAAGCGTAGAGAAGGGAGGGAATGACCGTGGCTGAGAAGACCTGAAGCTTAGTGCGGAGCGACAGACCACGTAGCTTCCACACAGCGTTACGCAACCGATGAAAAGATATTGCTGCTCGACTGATTCGGAGTGAGACCTCTGCTGTTCAACTGGAGCCGGTCATAAGCACACTGCCCAGGTATGGGAAACTCTCCACTCTCTCCACAACTGCCCCATCACCGATTGGGAGTTATGGGGGTGGAGTGTCCGATGGTACAAAATACCCAGGCAGGTGCTTAGTTTTGGTGGGGCTGATGGTAAGGCCCCATTTTTTAGTGGCACGCTCCAGTCTCAGCAGCAGCGTCTCCAACTCCTCCTCTGAATGAGCAACTATTACCAAATCATCGGCATACATAACGTGGTTGAGCAATAGGGAGCCATCCCTTGATCGCACCCGGGCATCGATCAGCCTCCCATTATATCTGTACCAAATGGAGATTCCCCCGGTACAGCTATTGAAGGCTTCACGAACTACGTTGTCAAAATAGATGTTAAATAATGTGGGAGCCAGAGGACATCCCTGTCGCACCCCAAGGTGTACAGGGAATGGCTCTGACTCCCGGCCACGTAGTTTTACCCGGGCCCGCTCACCATCATGAAGGTCCTTAATGATCGTGAGCAGAGGGGCAGGGACTCCAAAAGCACGAAGAACAACCCAGAGCCCAGGCCTACTGATGGTATCATAGGCCTTGACCAGGTGATTAAAACAGAGATGTAGGTCTTGTTGGAATTCCCTACACCTCTGGTGCAGCAGACGGACAGAAAATATGGCATCTGTGCAGGACCGCCCTTTCCTGAAACCGCATTGGGGCTCCGCAAGCCTCTCCTCAGCTTGCCTGGCGAGGCGATGTTGAATAATCCTTGCCAGGACCTTTCCCGGCACACTGAGGAGTGAGATGCCCCTGTAGTTGTTACAGTCTGTGCGGTCCCCCTTCTTAAAGCGGGGGACCACCAGGGCATCCTTCCAATCCTGCGGAACCTGTCCAGTGGGCCAGACTGTTGTTATGATTTTATATAGGGCAGTCTGTGCACAAACGCCACCCTCCCTCAGCATTTCGCTTGGGAGATCATCTCTGCCCGCTGCCTTTCCTGGTCTCAGACTCACGATCGCCTTCAGTGCTTCCTCAACAGATGGTACTTCAGCCAGCCACTCACAGGGGGTGACTTCTTCCAATATTTGAGGAACTGCAGCCTCAGCAGGTCATCCTCAATTTGTGCCACGATGTTTTCCTGGCTGAGGGATTTTCCCTCCCCCAGGACCTCACAGAAATGCTCAGCAAATCTGCAAACCTGTTCCTGGGGGTCGGAGATTGGATCACCGTTTTTTCCCCTAATGATGGTAATAGGTGTGGCGATGCAGGTTACTTTTTTGATGGCGTTAAATAGAAATTTGTGATCGCGGGCCACTGAGGCAGACTCCATCTCCTCAGCAACCCGCGACCATCACCCATCTTTGCAGCGCCTCACGGCTCTCCGAACCTCCGAGCGAAGGCTGCGGTAAGCCTCCTCATTCTCTGACGTGGGATTCTGTAGCCGATGACAGTGGGCCTGTCGCTTTTTCTCAACCATCCTGAACACCTCCTCTGTCAGCCAGGGTCTCTGGGGAGGTCTGGACCACGTACCCAAAGCAGCCATTGTAGCTGCATGAGTCACAGTCCTAAACCTCGCCCATTTACCCTCGACATCAGGAGGAGTGGGGGACGATGCCAATCCCAGCCGCAAGCGATGATGAAATTCTCGCTTGCAACTTTCATCAGATAACTGAGACCAGACCACTTTTGGTTGTAATGGGGTCCTGGGTGTACACCCACCACTGGAGCGGAAGAATGGGCGGCGCATCTTCCAGATGACTAGTCGATGGTCCGAGGGCAGATCAGCTCCACGGTAGCTCCTGGTGTCAAGGACATGGGCTCGCATCCGCTGGTCCGTCACTATGTAGTCCAGCAGATGTTCTTGCTTGGACCTGGCATGCATCCATGATGTTGTGGGATGCGCCGATGCCGGAACAGCGTGTTGGTAATTACAAGTCCATGGGCTGCACAAAAATCTAGCAGCCTCCTACCGTTGTTATTAAGCTGATCTGGCCCATGCCCTCCAATCACTCCAGACCAGGTGCCAGCATCATGACCAACTCGGCATTGAAGTCACCCAACAAGATGACTGTATCCTGAGGGGCCACTTTAGCCAGCACCTGTGACAGGAGGTCATAGAAGGCATCTGACTCATCGGCTTTGCCTGCATCCCTCCACGGATGTTCGTCTTTAGTGGGGCATAAGTAACCACGACCACCAATCCTCGCCTCCGATTGACGGGAAGGCGAGCCCAAAGTAGCCTGGGGCTTACAGCTTCCCACACCTCACCGCCACGCTCCCACACCCCCTTCATTCTTTTGTTCAAAAGAAGGTATCTGATACCTTGCTGCCTTTCACTGGCAAGACCGCCTCAGCAGTACTTAACTCAGCCCAATTGGTCTCTATGGTCAAAGACGTTGTACTGTCCCCTGACGATATCCTTGTCAGCTTCGATGTGGTCTCTTTGTTCACCAAAGTCCCAGTACCTGATACCATTGAAATAATTGAAAATTTTGTCCAACATGGACTAGACCCCGATACACCTGCACTGGTTAGGCACTGCCTCACCAATACCTACTTTACTTGGAATGGCTCCTTCTACAAACAAAATGAGGGTACCCCCATTGGATCCCCCTTGTCACCAGTGATAGCCAATATTTTCATGGAGAAATTTGAATCAGACGCCATCCAGACTTCCACCCTCAGACCTTCCCTGTGGAAGAGATATGTGGATGACACTTTCGTCATTTGGCCACATGGCTTCCCAGCTCTGAACCTTTTCCTACACCACATCAATTCCAGACATCCCGCCATCAAATTCACCATGGAAGTGGAGAAAGATGGCAAGCTACCATTCTTAGATGTTCTGTTTGAGAGGAGACCTGATGGCTCATTGGGGCATTCTGTGTACAGGAAACCCACCCACACAGATTCCTACTTGAAACCTGATTCCCACCACCACCCAGCCCAAAATAATTCTCTCATCAAAACGTTATACCATAGGGCTCATTGTATTTCGCACCAACACCACCTGATCAGTGAATTAAAACATGTACACCTGGCCCTCAAAAGGAATGGATACTCTGACCGTACCATCCACCAAGCTGTTTCTCCCTCCATACAGAAACAACCACTTGATACTCCGGTCAAAACCATCACACTACCATTTATAGCAGGCGTTACTAAAAAAGATTTCCAAAATTCTAACCAAACACAAGATCCAGGTCCGGTTCAATACAGTATACAAAATTCGTGATCTGATCCCATCCGTGAAGGATGTAATTCCTGACTTACAGTACCCTGGGGTTTACAAATTGAGTTGTACCTGCGGTGATTGCTATATCGGGGAGACAAAGCAACATGTCTCTGACCGAATTCGCGAGCACAAATCAGATTTGAAACACGGCAGAACGAATTCTTCTGCCGTAGCTGATCACTGTTACAACACTGTGGGTGATCACGATATAATTTTCTCCGATACCAAGGTTCTTTGCAAACCCACGGGTTTTTATCAGAGATTTGTTCACGAGGCAATTCAGATCTACAAACACAGACACAATTTCAACCGAGAAGATGGTTTCAAATTAAGCAACCATTGGAAAGATGTTCTAAATCGAACCAAACATTAAACTAATTTTCAATGGTACAGTATATTTTTCAAGTAGTGGTACCCCAAACTCTCGCTGCTCTTAAAAATTCCCTTTTCACACCATCAATAGGTAAACTCCCCCCCTCGCCAACCGGCATGTTCACCCGCTTGTACACCACCTCTACACTGTTCATCATGCCAAGTCGGCCAATCAAATGCTATTTTTATGCTAATTCCTTCGTCAAGGCACCTAGTTTCCTCGCACACAGCTGAAAGGTCGCGGTCTGAGCGTGGCTGTGTTTCACTCCAGCGCTGTCCTCGAGACAGTCTGGTCTCTTCACCTGATGAAGGCCGCTTGTGTTGTGGCTGAAACGTCGTGATTTTTGTTTTATTTTTACCTATGTGACTTTACTGAATAGAACCAAAGAGTATGGATCCTTGCAGTCACGAAAGCTTTAAATCTAGAATTTTCATCGGTTGCGTAACGCTTTGTGGAAGCTACGTGGACGCCACTAATGGAACATCTTCGCTGGTTAAAAACATTTAGGCTGGCCTGCCTACGATCCATCCTGGGTTTAACCAGGCTGGATTGTGTGAGGAGCTCACATATACTCTTTGGTTCTTCCGGTAAAGTCACGTAGGTAGAAAAAATAATAGATCATGACGTTTCTATCGCAACACAAGCAACCGTCTTCAAGTGAATAAGTAATGTTTTAAAGAAACTTTTTGAAAACACGCTTTAATGAATGTACCGTACGAGTAATGGCAGAACTCCACGACTCCAGGAAGTGGGCCCGAAGCTTGCCACAACGTAAGGGACCGTGGTGATTTACAGTCAACATAGTTGAGCGTGGACAATTATACCCAAGCCGAATCATAAAATATAAAAAAGAATGTAAAAATGTATGTATTTATTATAGAATATAGTATTGTCATCAGTATGACATAAGTATACCAAGTTTGCAGTCGATACGACATTGGGAACAGGGTTAAAATTGAGTTACAAGATTTGAGGATACAACAACAACAACAGTGAGTTAATAGAAAGCGTGTAATAAAAAGAGGGGAATCTGCTGAGGCAGGCTTTTTATAAAGGGTTTAGAGATGGGCGGGGGAAGCTAATGTTAATGTGGGAGCGAGCAGGAGAGAGCGAGTAGGAGAGAGAAATTTGCTTGTAAATGTAAGTTCGGTGTGGGCCGAGCTCGGCTAGGGCCCGGAAATTTGAGAGTCTGCTAATATTGGCAGGTAGGAAGGGAACATAAAAGCAGTTAAAACTTTACCTGGTTGATCACGTCCTACCAATGATTGCTGAATTTGATTCCATCTTCTCAGTTGAAGTTTTGTCTGTGTTTATAAATCTGGATGGCTTCATGGACAAATCTTTGATGGTAGCCCGAAGGTTTTCAGAGTACCTTGGCCTCGGAAACGACAATATCATGTGAGCCAGCCACGTTCAAACAGTGATCAGCCATGGCAGAGGTATTGGTTCTGCCTTGTTTCAAATCTGCCTTGTGTTCGCGAACACGGTCCGAGACATGTCGTTTCGTTTCCCCATGTAACTGCTACCACAGACACAACTTAGTTTGTAGACACCAGGGTATTGCATGTCAGGAATCACATCTTCACAGATGGGATCAAATCACGGATTTTGTGTACTGTGTTGAATCGAACCTGGATCTTGTGTTTGTTCAAGATTTTGGAAATCCTTTGGTAACCCCTGCTATGTATGGCCAGGTGATGGTTTTGATTGGGTTCTCAGATGGTTCTCTCCCGATGGTTGGGGATACAGTTTGCAGACTGTCGATCTGAATATCCATTCCTCTTGAGGCTTGGCGTACGTGCTCCAGTTCACTGGATAGGTGGTGGCTCATCGGAGATGCAATGGGCCCTATGGTGTAGTGTTTTGATGAGGGAATTCTTCTGGCTGGATGGTGGTGGGAATCAGGCTTTAGATAGGAACTGTGTGGGTGGCTGATGGCTCGTTGGGACACTGTCTACATTAATGCCACCTACACGGATTCCTATCTAAAGCCTGATTCCCACCACCCATCGGTGAGCTCCTCCGGCAGGCAAGGGCTGCGTTGGCTGGGTCATGTAGCCCGCATGCCCAGCCACCGCATGCCTAAACAGCTTTTGTTCGGCCGGATAGAGGGGGGTAAACGGGCGGGGCACGGGCTAGAGAAGAGATGGAGTGATGTGGTACAGGCGGATGTGGAGCTGAGAGGACTTGCCGATGACTGGTACCAGCGGTGTCAAGATCGGCCTCTGTGGAGGAGGCTCGTGAAGGACGCTACTGGGCAGTTGGATGCAGTCCGCCCTCCAAAAACAACAGAGGGGGGAGGAGCGATGCTGACACCAACGTGCGGAGCGCCGGGTGGCTAAAGCACAGCAAGTTGAACAGTAGGGGGCACAGGTGGTGCATCAGCCAGTCATCTCAGTCAGTCGACCCGTGGCACCTGGGTCTGCCCCATGACCTCCTGCCTCAACGTGCACATAGCCTGGCACAAGCGTGGTGGTGACGTCACCGCCACTTAGTGGCGAATGGCAGTTGTTGTTGTATGTGCACGTCTGTATGAGTGGGGAGCGGTCGTCTAGTGGTTAGCGCGCTGCGCTACGAACCTGGCATACCGAATTTGATTCCCGCTTACAGCCAACACCAGTGACTATAATCTGAACCGGTCCTGGGTATCTCGTAGGTCGACTCGGCCTCAAATGAGTACCTGGTGCGATGTGTAAACATCGCCACTGGGGACACAAAGGCGGCCGGGCGTGGTGCTGGCAACTCACCCCCTCGTGTGCTGTTTCGGCCTTCATAGGTGCTTGCTAACAACACTAGCCCCAACAGTCCCGTCAGCCTATATGGGGGATCTTTGTCATTGTACGTGCACGTCTGTGTGTGCAGCTCAAAGAGGAGCAGGAAGATGTGAGTCATGCGATTTCTCAAGACATATCTGGAACAGGTAACACGCACGCACACACACAGACATGTTTGCACACAACAAAGACACCCCCGTATAGCCTTAACTAACTGTTATGGTGAGTGTTGTTAGTGAGCACCTATGAAGGCCGGGATGGCACACGAATGGGTGGGTGGCCAACACCACGCCCGGCTGCCTTTTTTTACAAAGATAAACAGAGACAAATATCCCCCGTATAGCCTTAACAGACTGTTGGGGCAAGTGCTGGTAGCGAGCACCTATGAAGGCCGGTACCGCACACACACCTACACGATTACACACCTAGATGTACAGAAAGACACACACAGAAAAGCATAACAACAACAGCCGCCATTCGCCACTAAGTGACAGTGACGTCACCATGGCGCCTGTGCCAGGCCAGATGCACTTTGAGGCCACGTGAGGTGTCGGAGGCTCACTAACAGGTCACGGGACAGACCCAGGTCCAATGGGTTGACTGACTGAGATGACTGGCCGATGCACCAGCTGGGCCCCCTCTGTTTTTGCTGGAGTGTCGCTCCTCTGCTCTCTGATGTTGCTGGAGGGCGACTGCCTCCAACTGCCCAGTAGCCTCCTTCATGAGCCTCTTCCTCCACACAAGTACACCCGCACATATACATACATACACGCACACCTTTACTTTTACATACACTAACACCTACTCTTCCTGTTTGTCTCCATGTGTTCCCACATCTCCCTGTCTCCCCGTTTCCCTCTGTGGCCCTGTGTTGCCCCCCCCACCATGCACCCCCTTGTTCCCCTCCCCCCGTGCCCCTCCCCCCAGACGACTTGGAGCTGGAGGAGGAGCTGTCAGCACTTTTGCTGCTGGAGGAGGCGCCCCCCACCACCTCGACACTCCTGCCAGAGTTACCACAAGTTCCCCAGGCCGGCCCTGATTGTCACGGTGAGCTGCGGTGACACGTCACATGACAGAAAAAAGTAACATCATAGGTCAGGAAGCGGTAGGGTGGCGGCGCAGGGGTAACACTTGTGCTTCAGCAAACGGTGCCTCGGTTCAATTCCTGACTAGGGTGCTTCCTCTCTGCATGGAGTTTGTTCTCCCCCCGTTGTACAGATTGAGTGTGAGTCTGTGAGTGTGAGTCTGTGAGTGTGATTGTGTGTCTATCCATGTGCGTTTACCTGTGCGAGGAACAGTTGCGCATTGGTTAGCGTGCAGTGCTACCAACCCGGTGACACACGTTCTATTCCCTCTCACGGCCAATAAGATTATCTGATCTGGTCCTGGGCCTCCCCTGGGTTGACTGAGGCTCAAATGAGTACCAGGCGTGGTACTGGCCACCTACTTCCTGGTGTACTGTGCCAGCCTTCATAGGTGCTTGCTAACAGCACTTGCCCCAACAGTTTTAATTGTTGTATGGAGGACCTGTGTATATTCGTGTGTATGTGAGAGTTTAAGAGTGAGTGCGCGTGTCGAGTTTGTATGTTCTCTCCTCGTTCTGCGCCGCAGTGGCAAGATTTTAACTACCTCGCCTGATACACAGGAGGTCGCGGGTTCTATCCCGACCCTGACACCTGTATATTTGGAATCTGCATGTTTTCTCCCCACGTAGGTTTTCCTTTGTGTCCTCCGGTTTTTCCCTCCACATTTAGAAACATGCGTTTAGAGTATTTGGCTGCCTTACCTAGTAAAATAAAAAAATGAACCAGATATAATGGACTTAACAACATTGCCACCTGCTGCGAAAAACTTGGCAGGATCCTCCTGAAATCTTTCCTAATAATAGCGTCGTAGCAGTAATAATAAGAATAAGTGGCGTCACATGACAGAAAGTGGTGCTGTGTGACAGGAAGTGATGTCGCAGGTCGCGTGTCGGAGCGGCTCCTGAGCGACGCGGAGCTGGACCTGTCGCGGCTCCAGATCCACGGCGACGTTGCCCGTAGCCACGGCAACTTCACAGGTAGCTATGGCGACACAACATCGTCAGCACCGTTTCCGGTGACACTGGTACGATGTGTGTGTTCGACGCTGTGTGTGGGAGCAGTGGTGCAGTGGTTAGCGCGTTGCATTATAAACTCGGCGGCCCGAGTTCGAATCACGTTCGCAGCCGACACCAGTGACGATTATCTGAACCGGTCCTGGGCCTTCCCTAGGTCGTCTCAGCCTCAAATGAGTACCTGGTGCGGTGTGTAAACATCGCCACTGAGGAGACAAAGGCGGTCGGGCATTGTGCTGGCCATCCACCCCGTGTGTGCCGTGCCAGCCTTTATAGGTGCTCTCTAACAGCACTTGCTCCAAAAATCTGTTCAGACTAAACGGGGGATATTTGTCTTTGTGTGTGTGTATGCGTGTCTCTGTGTGTCTTTGTACATGTCAGGACTGCAGGCAAGCGACCGTCAGACTTCCGTCATGGATGCCCTGTGACCTCCGCCCTTGCTTGATTTTGTTTCTGCGTCTCCCCGTCACGGAGCGGTGCACCAAGGGGGGTGCCTGCACCCTCTGGCCCTCCCAAGGCCCCGCGTCTCACTTACCTCCAGAAGACAGGGGGCTCGATCGAAATGTCACTCTGTGCCTCTCCTCGTGCCGAGCATGGCCGCAAAGGCCCACTGCGGCAAGCGGCACTGCCAGAAGGCACGATAGATAATCGTACCTGCCTTTTTATTGAAGTGCCACTCCACAGGAGAATGCAGTCCCGGCATAGACGGCTCCGATCGTGCATCTGCGAGCGTTTGAGTACGAGACTCGCACACACCCCGGTATAATCCGGATTGTGCTACTCTTGACCTCGCATCATCGCTAAAACAAAGGATTCTCTTTGGAAATCTCGCAGAGCTACAGGGGGGGTGGACCCCCCTCACAATTAGAGAGTGGCCCTGTGGAAGCAGAGCCTTTTCTTCATGTGGCACTTTGGTCCACCACACAGTAGGGGGCAACACCGTTTTGGTGACCCAGGTGGCTCTTGCAAAAGAGAACTCTCTCTAACCCCCCTTGTCTCCTTGAGATCTCACCCGGGTCAAACAAAATCAACTTGACTTGAACTTGCGGCCCGCTCTGCCACAGAGAGGCAGTGTCCGTTGCGTGGCAGTCAACCCGTAAGTGTTTATATTTACGGGATCTAACCCAGATAACCTATATTATAGATGATATTAGTCACGAAACCCTGAAATGTTAAACAGAGCTGGAATTCGGCTAAATTGAGTGGAAGAGCCGCATTTGCTTTCTGTGTGTGCAGTTATTGGTGATCGGGCCAAGGTCGAGGGCTGCCTCCTGTCCTGGTTCTCCCAGAGATGCCCTGTGTTTTTAGGCAGCTGCTGAGCAGTGAGCTACGAGAGGAAAGAGCTGAGTGATCATCTTGCGTCTCCCTCAGTCACTCAAGCCGGATTCAACTCAACTGGAGCTCGCCAGTGACATGAGTATTCGGCACTTGGGTTCTCCCTTGGTGTCCTCCAGGTCACTGCTAGACTCGAGCAGACCGCGCACGGTGACCAGTAGTATCGACAACCATGGCAAGAGGGTGTATACTGGATGTGGTTTAAGACCATGTTTATTGAATTTAGATCGGGTTTAAGACCATGTTTGTTGAATTTAGACGGGGGTTTAAGACCGTGTTTGTTGAATTTAGACCACTTTTAAAACAGTGTTGAATTAGACCGGGTTTAAGACTGTTGAATTTAGACCGGGTTTATAATCATGTTTGTTGAATTTAGACTGGGGTTTAAGACCACGTTTGTTGAATTTAGACTGGGTTTAAAACCACGTTGTTGAATTTAGACCGGGTTAAGACTGTTCAATTGAGATCGGATGAAAGGGCATGTTGTTCATGTTAGAGCAGGTTTAAAACTATGTTGATGTTAGACCGGGGGTTAAGACTGTGCTTAAATCGTATTTATTGGACTAGGCTGGGTTTCAAGATGAAGCTGACAAATGTTTGAGGCCAGATTAACTGAAGACCAGGTTAAATGAAGTCCTGATTGAGGTGAGGGCTTGCGGTGGGCAGGGTTTAACACCAGGTTTAAACCTGTGGTTCGGACGGGTTTCACGGGATCCTGGGTTAGACTGGGATTATGTTGCGGTGTTGCACTTTAAATAAAAGCCAATAGTTTTGATCACAGCATCGGTTATTGTGATCATACGGTGGCCACTGATACACTCCAATTAGCAATCATTGACCTCCATCCTGCGCCTGGTACTCCAGAAACGTTTTTAAATTACTGAACATGTTTAAGTATTAATCCCTCAGTGCTTTGTGGGAACCCTGCTACCCCCACGTGACCACGCTGCCACCATTTCATCACTATCAGGAGCGCCAACATCTGTGGGGGAGGCTTAGAAAGCACGATCCTTAAGATGGTGTGGAACCGCAGGCTCGTTCTGAGATTAGTTTAAGTGGCTGGGGGTTCGAGCCGTGTTCTTGTGACACGGCAGCCATGAGAAGAGGGCTAACTGTATCTGCAGGTATGCTTTCCGTGCCCCACAGCAATAACTTGGCTACGAGTGCGAGGAGTGCGGCATGGCTTAAAGGGCAGTGACCAGCACCTCTCCACGCTTGTGCCTCGAGCACTTGCACACAATGGATGAGGAGTGCACACTCCGGCGCCTTTCCTCGTGACAGGGAGGAGAGAGTGTGGAGATTTCAGAATTTTGGCGCCAAGTGAAAGCCGTGAGCGATAATGGCTGCAGCAACGCAAGGCAGGTCCCCGGCGTTCCGAAGGATGCGGTGGTGATGCAAGCCCCTAACGGCGGGGCTGCTCAAAAGGAGCAGCCCAGGGGACCGGCAACAGCACCCTCCCACAAAACACAGCACCCCGGGAAGCGGAGTGCCCCGGGTGAATCGAGGCTAAAGGCCGTAAACTTCCCGGTGGGGCCGTGGGGTAGCCGATCGCTAAAACCGGCAGCGTCCAGACACTACTTTGCGTCAGCGCCATGAGGAATCACCTCCCCAAGTGAACTAGGGGAAACAAAAATGGTCGGAAACCATATTGCCATCAATGCCTGCCTCACCAGTGATGGTCCCGGAGACAGTGGGCACAGCGGGAAGTGGCCTTGGGCCCAGGACCATTAGAAGGGAACATTAAAAGGGAAGCTTTGCTGTGCAGGAGGGCATGCAAGCCAGTGCCCAGTAGCTCTGACAAGGGAAGCAGTGGAAGAGTCGTTTGTCTTCAAAGGAGACCTTGAGGACAGCGAGGAGGTCTCTGAGCTACAGAGCCTGGGCTGAATCTGACCATGGGAGTGGCCAAGGAAAGCTGCACATAGACGGCCTGGTTTTGACATGGCCAGAAGCCTGTTGTGTCTCACGTTGGAGGAGGGGGCCTTCTAGGGAGGTCCCCGAGAAGGCACTGCCTGCATTTTACCCCTCGGATGGGGCAGGAAAAAATACCGGAAAGGGAAAGAGCCCCAGGGTGGAGGAGGATAACTCGGGGGATTAGCCGTTACCACTGAAGGAGGATGGAGAATGTTCCTCCTCGGGCAAATCAAGCTTGAGAGATATGGAACTTTTGCGAGGCATTCAGGTTTTGCACAGGGACACTGTCAAAACATGGATGAGAAAGCTGATAACTAGTATGGAGGTGATGGCGCCCAACCACTGAGGAGGAGAAAAGTCACCTGTGTCGGTGGTCAGAGGTTGTGACCGACACGCTCTGCATCGCACACCTCCTTCCCCTCAGTCACCCTTAGGGAGGGGACACGAATCTGCTGCCAAGAGTGCTCCAGCCCGCTGCGGGTAACTTCGCGTGTCCTTGGCTGGCATTGGCTACCTTATTGTAATGCTTTTCGTTGGATGTATTTGTCCCATTAATCTCGTTTGTAGACGTAGGAGTCGTGTACGTGACCTGCCCGACAGCTGGCCTGGTTACGTCGTCACGAGTTACGTCACTGATGAAAATGGCGGTGTGGTAGTCATGTGGAGCGGGTGGGACTGGACACTCCCCCCGCCCTGCTTATATAGTAGTCCCTCGGTCAACAGTGACATCGGTTAACGGATTTTCAGTTAACGTTTCGCCTCGCATCGGAACTCCCATGGTTTCAACTAACGTTACATTTTTTATTAATGGCATGTTTACGGTATGCACGCGGGCCAATTTCGGCCAATCCGAGTGCTCGTTAGTGGACTGAGCCATGCCCTCAGCCAATCAACGACGCCCATTTATGAGAGTTTAGACCTCGATTGGCTTTGTTTACATTATGTTTTCTGTTTTAGGCGTGGCAACAGCTCTCTTGCAGACTCATGTAATTCCTATATTCGATTAACAGTTATTTCGGTAAGCAGTAGTTTTCATGGAAGGGATTAAACGCGTCAACCGAGGGACTACTGTATTCACAATTGTCATCGATTTAAAGTTCCTGGAGTGCCCAGCACAGGAGGAAGTTCAATGGCTGCGAGTCAGAGCGTGTCGATGACCATTGATGACAACCAGATTCAACGCAAGTCTGAAAACCTCGTTTAAACTCGGAACGCTAAACGCGGCGCCACTGCTCCCTAGCAGCGCTGGCCCCGTGCCGCGCGGTGACACCGAGAGAAGATCTGTAGCCAGGCGGAGACAATCTCCTCTCTAACGGGATCATCGCTCGAGCCACGCTAACAGCCACACACCGCACCCACCATCTCCAAAGACAAGGATCCCCCCCCGTGTAGCCTTTAACAAACTATTGGGATAATTGCTGTTAGCAAGCACCTATGAAGACCACAAGGTGGTGGGTGGACAACACCACACCCATGTTTACACCCCACACCAGGTACACATTTGAAGCTGAGGAGGCCCAAAACCGGTTCAGATAATCCACACCACAATCACAACACATAACCCTCCCACACTAACACCACAACCACAGTCCTGATCTCTACAGCCATGCTAGTAACCGCAACCAACCTGCCGTGGCCTGATGGATCACTAGGCATCCCAACCACAACTACAACCACCACCACAATTGCAACCACCCTTCCAGCCTGGGTGCTAGAGGTCATGAGTGGTAGTGGTGTTGATAGTGGTGGTGATCGGGGCGGTGATGAGGGTGCTGGTGTTAATAGTGGTGGTTTGATGGTGGTGGTAATGATGGGTGGTTGTGGTTTGATAGTGGTGGTGATGGGTTGTGGTGGTTGTGGTGGTGGTGATGGTTAGTTGTGGTGGTGATGGGTTGTGGTGGTTATGGTAGTGATTGGTGGTTCCGAAAACCCTGTCCCCTATCACTGACCCTGCCCCGGATGTAGAGGTCAGAACCTGGGTTGACATCTGGACCCTGGCCTCTGCTCACGGGAGGAGGGCAGGAGAGTGAGCCGGCCGTTATGTTCCTGCGGGCCGGTTTGAGTAGTAATCGGATGAGCGTGTCTCACTCGGGGATCACTCCTGAGCCCCCCACTCCCCGCAATCCCCTCAATCCCCCCACAGGGCGGGGGAAGGTGAGTGCGTACGTGACTGTGTCTACGAGGTTATGCGTGTGTATGTGACTATGTCATTGTGTATGCGTACGTGGGTATGTGTGTGTACTTCACTGTGTCACTGTGTGTCCGTGGTTGTGGGGAGCGGTGGTGAAGCGGTTGGCGCGCTGCGCTACGAACCCGACGACTCGAGTTCGATTCCCGCTCATGGCCAACACCGGTGACGATTATCTGAACCGGTCCTGGGCCTCCTCGAGGTCGACTCTGCCTCAAATGAGTACCAGGTGTGGTGTGTAAACATCGCCACTAGGGAGAAAAAGGTGGTCGGGTGTGTGCTGACCCTCGCCCCCTCGTGTACTGTACCGGTCTTAATAGGTGCTACTCGTTCACAGCACTTGCCCCATCAGTCTGTTAAAGGCTATACTGGAGATATTTGTGTGCACCTGTGTTTGTGCGCTTGGCCGTGTGAGCTTGCCCGTGTGAGCTGAGCTCTCCCCGTCTCACTCCCCGCGCTGCTCGTCACTGGAGCCATGCTCTCCTTCCCTTCTCCCGCTCTCCTCCTCAGCTTCCTCCTCATCTCCAGCTCCAGCATCATCACAGGTAAGAGGACTTTGGACCAGGAGATCTCTAACCAGGGAGAATCTGGGACTTAGAAACCTGGGGCCAGGGGAGCTGAGATCATGAGATATGGAACAAAGAAATACAGTACTATTCTTCACACATGTCTCCAAATAAATGCAGTTTTTTTACTTATCCCAGCAGCTACACGTCCTGGGAGTGCATAATTTCAACAGCAGTGGTGCAGTACCAGCAACACTGGACCGGTTCCGACATTCAGTGTCTCATCAGCAGAGTTAGGAGCCAGGAGATATGGAGATAAATTAGATGTGAAGTTTGAACCTTGGGACAGGAGAAGGCATGGGTGATGGTAGTGTGGTCATGTTGATGGTCACGGTGTATTGCTACTAATGTGATGGTGACCTGTGAAGTTCATGGTGTGATGGGGATATTGACGATTGTAATCACGAAGATGTGATGATGGTTATGATGTGATGCTGATTTTGGTATTGATGTAATGCTGGTGTTGTGATGCTGATGTGATGCTGATGTGACGTGGCTGCTATGATACTGTAGTAGTGATGTTGATGTGATGCTGATTATGTTATGATGTTGATGATATTGTGATGTTGCTGCTGATAATTATTTTGATGTTGAAATTGCAAATTTTAGTGATGAAGATGTTGCTGATATTGTTCATGACGTGTACTGATCCTGCAGTGATGATTGTGAATACTGATGATGTAAATGATGATTATGTGATGTTGAAATTATGTTATGAAACTGATGTGATGTTGATGTGATGCTGCTGATATTGCTGTTGTGATGATGCTGATGATGTGATGTTAATGATGTATTCCTGATATTGTGATGGATGATGCAGATGTTGTGATGATGTTGTGATGCGAATGTTGTGATAGTGGTGATGTGATGATGTAATGATTATGCTGTGATGTTGTGATACGGATGTTGTGATGGTGATGACCACTTTGTGATGCCACTGTTATGATGCGCATAAGGTGATGCCGATGTTGTAATGCTGATGTGATGCAGATGCTGTGATGCGGATGTTGTGATGATGATGCTGTGATGTCGCAGTGGCTGGGATCCAGTGCTATCGCGTGTGTGGGCCTCTCGGGAGGCGGCAGTGCAACGCGCAGGGGGTCACAGCGTGCCCC